AGAAAAGAGGGTTTGCCTATATACACCAGTCATTAGAAGACTGGCTTCTGCTTGTAGTGATGCTTCTTCAGTGTAGAGCTTGTTACTGGGTGATGGACTGCATCTCCATTCCGCTGGCAGTGTCAGAAATAAGGCAATATGTGTCAAGGTCTTAAAACAAATAGCCACAGAGAATTGCCAGGGTGTTTTCTTACACATTTCTGAGCTTACTGTAGGTTTTGTCTCATGAATGAACACTTAATGAGGCCTGCCACATCAAATAGCCACCCTCAACCTCTCCAAGCAGCTATGGAGCCATTCCGCTCCATCTTGTTTCCACCAAGCAAATGAGACAAGAGGACAGTGGAAAGAGAAGTGCGACAAATTGTCATATGGTCCAGAGGCTCAGGACAGGTGCAGGAAGAGAGAGAGAGGCGGGTCTTTTTGGCAGGATAAATCTATTGCCTAGTTAAACAGTCACCCTTCATTACACACTAACCAGCACCACAACCATCGTATCCACCATTAGCATTCATCAAGCTGTGAAGAGGAAGTACTGGAGGACATCTGGCAGGAAGAACCACCACTTGTCCAGAAGACGCCCCTGACAAGGGTGGAGGTCTAGTGCAGTACATTACTCTACATCAAGCATTGTTCAGTCTAAATACTCTGAGCATTATTAGCTATGTTAAATTCAGCTATTTAACTGTTCAACTAGTGTACAGGCTCTAATGTTCAGTGAGAGACGGTGTGCATTTCATGTGACTGACAAAGAAGAAGCTGCTTGCCACTTAATGACTTCCTCACAGGTTCAGCTGTTGCTAGCAGTACTGCACAGTAGCTAAGGTGGTGTCATTTAATAAGTAGTACCTACTGCGCCAGCCAACATGGACCACACAGTATAAGATGCTTGTGTTTTTGCTGTATTAATACTTTTTGGGTACTTTCACAACTATTAAGAGCCAAAACAAGTCAAAACTGAAAGTAGAATCTAAGACATGAAGACACTGAGCTATATTTGAAGGAATTTCCAATCAACTGACTTAAACGTCAACAGCCTGCTTGTGTTTATAGTATTTTTTCTTTCTTTTTTTTGTTTATTTACAGAGTCCAACAAAGCTGCAATATGCCCTTCAATATTCAGTTACTGTAGTTCACCCTTAGTTAGATTTGATGAAATTCAGGATGATCATAATGTCAAGTTTGATGGTTGTCATGATAAAAACTATTTACTGTGATATTCTTGGTCGAAATAATCACGGCATGAAAATTTGATATCGTCACATACCTAATTATGTTTAGTTGATAGAAGCAGATTACAAATCTAGTAATATAAATGACAGAGAACTGACATGAGATGTGCAGCATTTAACACATCCCGTACATGTGCATGGATGTCTTTGTGTGTTCTGAAAGGACGGGGACATTAAGATCTGTTTAATGACTCCATGTTCTTGTAAACGAGTATCCAAAGGGTAAAAGCATAAATCCCACTTTTTTATTGGATCCCATTCTAACCACATTGAAGATGACAATATATCCAAAAGGAACCTCTGGCTAGTCCTGTTAACAGCCCTGCCTTAGACTGCGATAGGACAAGCCATTAAATTCATAAATAGAAAGGTTGTAATGAAATATCAATTAGGCCGTAAGAGAAGGCCAACGCTACTTTTATGAGGACGGAGCTCATTAAGAGGACTACTGGAAAAGCCATGAGATCATTTTGTAATTCTCCACTGATAATCCAATTAGTGCACAATGGATTTTTCCTGGCCGAGGACTCTTTGTTATTGGAGTAAAGTTTCACTGCACAGGGGATGTATAAATCTCAGAAGCTCTTTGAAGATCAATTATGAGTGTAATCATAATTATTACTTAATAATCATAGATTTTCAGTGAGGAATATCAGCTGGTCTGGTCCCGCGTATTACTCTGATGGAGTGCCATTTGTCTGAAAGTGATTTCAGGTTCTGGTGACAGTCGTGTAGTTCATATTTGTCTGAGTTCATTCTGTCACAGATGACTCTGATTGTGTTGACTTGGCAAATAATGATGTCTGCAGTTTTTGATATTTCAGTACTTGGCATGGCAGACAATAAGAAAACATCTATTTTTAATCAGTTATGTGTTTCCCCTTGCTCACTGACCTTCAGCCCGTGAAAATCCAACTCAATAATTCACTATGCTCTGCATCCCCCCCTTTGGTACACACACACACACACACACAGTGACTTCAAGGCAGTATGATATATGGATTGTGATTGTTGCTTGTGGGGAATGTATTTTCCTACTGACAGCTGACTTGTATCTTCGCCTACATTTTGTTTTAGATTACATTTATTTTCCTTTCTGAGATTTTCTGTTCCTTATCACTCACAGCTGTGGTGCTGCTGTAAGATATAAGCACATAAATCCCATTTTCCACTTTTTCTCATTTTCCAACATAGGGATCACAGAGTTGATCTAATTGACTTGAATATGGAAACATGTTTTGTCTTTATAGCAATGCCAGGCTTTTTTGGTTTGTTCTTATACTATGATACTTCACTTTATATTTCACAGATGAATCATAGTCACTTGAGTTTGATGCACTACATACTAGAATTGTTTTCATCAATTATACATGGAGCAGGGCTGATCCATTTTTGTACTGTACAATCCTCAGCCATGTGTGTTTCCTGTTTCATTTCACACCTGACTGTCTCAGACTTGAACACAAGTGCTGCAGTCTACCTCCACTTTCAGTTAATCCATCACAGACAGCCCTATTTCATTTCAGATATACAGTGAGATGTCACACTGTCGATCCAGTCTGATTCATCCGTGACCTACTGCACCCATTACTACAACAGTTGCGACAACTGTGTGTGAGATACAGACTGAAAATAGAAGGCAGTGTTGAAAGGATTGGTAGCACGCTTCTTTTTTTCACTATGTTGACATGCAATACTCTGTGCTATATATGCACTAATAAAGTCCAATACAGCAATACAGTTTAATTACTTATTTAAAGCATTGTATTTATAATACAGTACTTTTCATTTTTTTACACTCTTCATCATGACAGAAGGTCTTATTCACCACATTGCCATTGTCTCCTATAACCTTGATTCAGAACGTTTGAATAGAGGCCTCATTATAGTGCACACATGCCTTGAAGAAAGAAGCTCATTAATGACATACTGTATACAGTAACTGTCACAGTGGCAGCTGCTGAATGGAAGTGAAGGTCACCTCTTTTGAGTTCCCCAGAAAAACTTTTTATGGCCTCGAAGTTTTTTTCTCTGAAAAGCTGTTAACTGCCTGCACTTGTATTTCATGCCTCACTAAAGCCAATTTGCAGTTGCATGCAAAATTATAATATTTTTCTTATCCAGACTTGCTTTGCTTATTTATATATTGAGAATTCAAGCTGAAGTGCAAATGTATATTTCTGTAGAATGGGAAACAAATGTGCAGTATGCTTGTAAAAAGGGACAAAATAAAAATGATGATCTTGAACAGACAGAGAAAGAGTTTCACAAGCACATCCACATGCCAACCACCACTCACCTGAAGCAGCTACCGATGTTTTTAGTATTTATCAGGGGGATAACGTTGTTGCATAATTGATGGTGTAGGATGAGCTTCCTGTTTGTGTGGAGAAGACTCCTGTCTCATTTCATTTGGAGACAGAAACCAGGTGCTAAATTTACCTTATACATACTCGTATTCAAAGATCCAAAGACTGGCACTTTAACAGCTAAACTGCCAAGGATTCACTCCGAACATAAAACTGTCCATTTCATCTGTTTGTCGTTGAAACTGGAATTAAATTTGACATTTAGTCAACCATTCCAAGGCATATTTTTACAATAATCCCTAAAATAAAAAAATATGCAGGGATCTTGAACCCTCAGAGTTCAGAAGAGTTTAATACATATCTTCTGTGGGGTAACAGGCCTTTTAAAGGTCTATGAATATAAATTGAACCTTAGGTGAATTTTACAATGCAGGTCATGATGCTGAAATTTACAGGTTACTGCTCATGCTGTGGATTACTTCAGTAAAAATTGAGGCCCATATGGCCAAGGACCTATCCAGTTCCCTGCTACAGGTTCACCGCAGACCTCCATAAAGTATCCATATCAGGGGCAAACACTGAAACACCAGTAGACGTTTGTGGAGCTGAGAGGAAATTTGATTTTTCATGCTCCATGGGAGGGGAATTGCTGGAAATACATTCAGTGTGCTGTGATTGTGACACCTCTTTGTTGTGTGTAAGGTACCTGTAACCCTTATCTTCACCTCCTCTGGATTCAATCAATGCCAATTTAGGTTTTATCAATAATTCACTGTTGGCTTATGATTGCATCTTATTAGGACCACTGCTAACAAAAAGAGGTGGAATTACATTTTCACAGGTTTCAGAGGGCACTCAAAGCACAGTAAAACAACTGATTTAATATCATCTTACAAAGCCAATGCCAAACCAGAATTTGAGATTGCTGACATCTGTTGTAACATAATATAATATCAAAGCTAAAAACTACACAGAGATCAACAAATCAGTGAGCTAGCTACAGCTAGCCATGGCTAAAGCTAAATTAACTTTTACCCCTTAGCTGTTTAAATGTAATCTATCAGTTTTGATGAACATGTTGGTAATTTAGTTATCCAACAGAAGACTATGTTTTAAATTAGGGTTGATGTACATACAGTATATAACCATTGACAAATGAACCCAGGAGAAATAATCACAGGAGGGGTGCTGACGTGGCAGAGATCCCATGATCTTCTGTCAGAAGTTTGAACTGTCTGGCAAAGTCAAACCCCTCCATCCATCATCTAGCACATTATTTTCAGGTTCATTGCAATGCACGTCTACAGTACCGTAAGTGAGCTGCTGAATGAAACAGTGGAGACAATGTTATCTGAAATTGAACTCGGGTTTGGTGCGTGAGAGTTCTTACTATCATCAAGTAGAGATGGGATTAACCCTGAGAGATAAATGGAGCTGTGTAATTGTGTGTCTTTATCAGGTCTAGGCAGTCCAGGTACTGGAAGGAGTCATCTGGGCTGCGTCCTTGTCATCTCTCTGTGAATGGTATGCTGGCCAGGAAGAACGATGCCAGCATGGCCCCATGGCACTGCAACAGGAAAGGTGCCCTTTAGGGTAATTATTCTTTATGAGTATTGAATCACAAATCCATGCACAATTAAATGTTATTAGAGGTTACCAGGCACATTGCACTATTTTTCAACAAAAGGAAATGGCATTTCACTGGCAGTAAATAGACTTTATTCCTTCCCAAGGCAAAGAAAATCTTTTAAAACAGTTATGGGAGTAGTAGTTTTGTGACTCTGCCTGTGAATTGCAGGCACTCGGATGCAACAATAGATATTTCACTATTATACCTGTGCTTTTTAAGGGAGCTCCTGTCTGCCCAAACTGGTATTTCAGCTGATTTAACTCACTGCAGTAGCATGCACATGCACGCATGCACACATATACACACAGTCATCATGTTTAATGCATTGATGTGAGCTGACAAGAAGGTACTTAGTGTTCAAAGGGATATTCAGGCCACCAAGCCTGTCTGGTTGTCAGCAGGGCAAAGACACAGTGGCAACAGGGTGCTCCTTCCACACTGTGTCAGATCATTGTCCTAGAAGACAATGAAGTAATTGAGAAATGCAGATCAGACCCTGAGTACAGCAGTTGTGTTGTGTTGTGTGGACTGACTGACAATCCGTATACTCTCTGTTCAGTCCAAATCCATTATGGAACAGGAAATCACATGATAGAAACATGGCTTCATTTTCAGTTTTTTTACTTTTAAATCCAAAAAGTAAATAAGGAAAAACACCCTTTTTGCTTTCATCATATACAGTATGTACCTGACAAAGTAATTGAAGTTTTTTTTTTTACCTTTGCATCTCTAATCCTGCCTTTTGGATAAGAACATTGAGAGACTGTTCATATGTCATATGAGAAGTAGTAGTAAAAGATATACAGTTTATATCTATGAGCAGACACAGTAAAAATATCGAGCCATGCCTCTGTCACATGAAGACAGAGAAAAGAAAGTGGAAAATTAGCACATTTAACCAGACAATTTTTATTTCTCATTCAAAAGTTTGCTTTCAATGTAAAAAATAAGAAAATGGTTTGTTTTTTCAGTTAAAAGGCACATTTTCTTATTTGATTTTGGTATTTTAAAGTGGAAAATTGAAAATCAAGGTTGTTGATTTTTTTTATTATTATTATTCCTTTTCCCATTCCATAACCGGTTTAGACTGAACAGAGAACAGATGAATTACTGACACACAAACTCGGTTAGATTAAGTCAATAATAAATAAGAGCAGCAAAAGATGTGAATGTGAACCTCCAGTAAAGGTTGGCTGTGCTTCATATTTCCACTGTTCAAGTAGATTTTAGTTTATACTATACTGTGTATTGTGTTCTACTGTAGACACACATTTGCTTTTGTTCACCTCTGTTTTCCTACAGCTATTTTTCCCCATCCACCTTATTATTTGACCTTATCTGGACCTGAGTAAAGATGACAGGTTATTTTTCTGCTGCTGAATCCATTTATACAATGTGCAAAGTACGAGTTGAGCTTCGTATATGCTCCCAGTGTGTGATGATAGTGTGTCAGGATGAAAACCATTTGATGTGTGGGGACAAAACAAAAGCCTATTTAGATCATGTTAATTTTCCATCACATGCCTCAAACCACATGGGCTTTATCTTCTGCAAAGTAGCACTTCTCAAATTACCAGTGGATTTGGAAAAAAGCATAACCATTCTCTTGAATAGATTAGCTGCGTAATAGCTCCTCTTTATCCGAGTATCAGCTGAGTGCGAAGACACCGTTGAGATCAATAGAAGCATAAACTAGTCTTTTTCATAACTCGTTTGAGGGCCTCATCCCACTCCAGCTTGTCTTTGAGATAATGTCCTATTTAATTAGAAATTGGAGATATCACATTGTTTTTAATGAGAGGAGCACTTTACCAGAGCATATGAGGCAGCAGAGAATCATACACAAGAAGGATAATGGCTGCTTGTAAGGGCTTCAGGGAATCAGATGAGATGCATTTTCACTCAGCTGCTCTTTATTCTCTTTTCTCTGTTCTCAAAATGCTTTCCTCCTGTATAACTTTAACATGGAGAGAGGGAGCACTTTAGGCATATCTCTGTACAGTGGATTTGTTAAAATCCCAGTTTCACTTATTACCAGATCTAGTTTAATGTCTTTCCAATATCTGTTTTTGTCTTAACTGTACACATGTGCATACATGATAATGCTGTGTTTCACAACTGTATCGTCTCATTTGTTCTGTGATTTCTGTCCAGGGCACATCAACAGGATGGGAATGAAATGCAAATGCACTTGTTTGCTTGGGGAGATCATGGGACGAGAGCACCGAGTCGTGAAAGCTGGTGCTGCGGGTTTTCTGCAGGGCTCTAATTCCTCTGCCAGCTTTGTGGCACGCTCAGAGGCTTTGACCTTTTACTGTGTCACTGTCATGGTGTGAAGGGACACAGAAATATATGACCCTCACACCAGGGACCAATGAAAGTGGCAAAAATCCCCTAACTATTTTCATTTCTTCCATCTGCAGCCCCTGGTGGAACCACTGAAACGGACCCTCAAGGAGGTGAAGCTATATGAGAATTTAAAGGTTGGTGAATGCACCTCTGACTGCTGATGCATCTCAGTTAACAAGGCCGGTTAATGACTTGTCAACTGATAAAGGTTACTGTAATGTATGATGTACCGGTGGAGCAAAGGGTAATTTATAATAGATATACCTTCTTTGGGGAGATCTATGCACATTTAGAGTCTTGTACTCGATTAGTGTGGAAAACTTTCCCAAGAGGTTATTTTTGAAACTGCAGCAGAATTTTAAAACCACAAAGGTTTATGTGTGAAATCCTGAGATGCAGATCAAACTCACAGTGACAAATCCTGACTCTTTCTATCCTTGTTCCCACCACTAATTTCTTTTGTCATCTCTCTGGTCTCTCCTTATCTGAGACCATTGGGTTTTCTGGGACAACAACTGTGCGCTTCATAGCTTTCCTTCCAACTCACCTGGAAACGGTTTCCTTGATTGTTAAATGTGATATGATGTGATGCAATCCAGTAATGTCTGGAGCTATAATCTTTTAGAAACAACCCAGATGTACTGTAAGCAGTATTATGGAGAATTGTCAAATGGTCCGGTCATATAAAATAATTTTTATACAGTAAACACTTTACCCTTATTGTTCACATGAACCTTTAATATTGCACAATTAAAAGAGGCTGATATTTTTAAAGATATGCTTATTTGCATTTTGCCAAGGGTTAGGTGAGGAAATTAAATCTGTTCATATTTGACAAATTTAAGGCTACAACCTGCAGCCGGGTAGCACAGGTAAGTCTGCCAACCAGCGTCTCCAAACCTCATTAATTAATATTATAGGGGCAGTTATGCTTAACTTCAGTTTTGTACAAACTAAACAAACAAGATATGTGTTAATTAGTAGTTTTATGCAGCTTGCAGGTCAAAACCAGCTCAGCTGTTTTCCCTAATTTCCAGTCCTTCTGCTAAGGTAATGTCAGCTGTAACTAATTAAGCACATTTCCCCAAATGTCAAACTGTTACATTTTAAAAACATACCACAAAAACCTTTTTTAATATTAATGTAAACTTTATTGCAGTATGCTAAAATCCTCAAATTCACAGGAAGAAACAACAGAGGACATGGCCCCTGTGTCCTCTCTTTTACTTTCCTCACAGTGCCAAATATGAAGTGGGATTTGAGAATTAAAGCCGCTGAGATGAGAGCAGGAAACCATTCTATATTCCCGCAGTGCAGGACGTTCTTCACATATAATTTGTACTTGAAAATTGTGAGATATCGATGCCGTCGACATAATGATAAGAATTCTCTCAGCATGTCAGAATGCTTGCTGCTAATAGAAATTGTGCTATCATCACCGCAGCACCACACAGGCGCTAAAACGCCAGTGACAGCATTGTGACTTGAATAAGAAATGTCCCTGTGAGGAGCGTGGCTTGAGCCATCAAACTGTGATCAATTGTAGTTGTAAGCAGAGGACAGATAAACCAGGGCAGCAGCCTTTGACAAGGCACCAAACTACATTCCTGTGATTTGTCACCTCACTGACACCTTTGTGTCACCGCCTCTTGTGGGAATAAAATATGATGATGTGATTGTCACGTGTCCTGGTCAAAGTAAGAACACACACAGAGAATACAGGACCATTGCTGAGAACAGATGAAAGGTAAATACAGAAGACCGTCTGAACAGTAATTACTACACAACCTTTCCATGTTACATGTGGTTATGACTTTTGGCCATAAAATTATACTTAAAGCAGGTTTTTCTGCCACGGTGCTGAGCTAATTCAGACTAATTCCAGTTTTATGTTTAAGAGATTTTCAGTGTACTCTATATCACTTTAGTAGAAACTCATACTTTGCTGATAAATAGTTTCATATTCACAGAAATAGATTTATTTGCCTTGTTGCTCAGACTTGAGATGATATGATTGATACCACACTCATGTAGCTTAGTCTAACACAATGTGGTACAAAATCTGGGGTGTAAAGATGTCCGTTTGTGGTTTTAGACGGGGTAGTGTGTCCAACTGTTTTTTGGCATGATTTAACGTGTTAATTACTGAGTTACTGTATCTGTTTCCCCGTTTCCAGTTCTTATGCTAATCTAAGCTAAATGGGTAAGATAACATCTTGCACAAGAGCAGTAGCAATCTTCTCATCTAACTCTAAGTAAGCAAATTTATTTATTTTTCCTTTAAGGATTTGGTTGTTTAACTTATTTTAATCTTGCACTTAAGTGGCCTGAGAGCTGGGCATTGTCTGCTCTGGCTCTGCCTCCCCCCAGTGAAGTCCTCCTCCACTGGCTAACACTGCTTGCTCTCTTAAGATTAGATTTGAATTTATGAAGATTGCCTCACCTGGCTTTCTGCTGTAATCCTTGCCTGTGTAGTAATTCACATTCAGGCCCTCCTTTCCAATTCGGTCAAGAAGACCGATATTTCACCATGACAATGTAATCACAGGTTCACATTAAAAAGTCATTATTGTTTAAAATCAGGAACCTGACTGAGAAAACACTGGCTATGCTATAACTGTCTTTTCCATTCACACGGGTGTTTACCCAAGAACAGGGGGTAGCGTAATTTAAACACACACTTCCAAACTAATTGATCACATGGGGCTTTGAACACACACACACACACACACACACACACACACACACACACACAGAATAATATCATTGTCCGTAGGATCCACTTGTGCTTTTTGTGCTGATTAGCAGGTAATCTCAGTAACCAGCTTTGATCCCTGCAGATTAGTACAAGGATAAGTACACAACATGTTTGTTCTGATAGCTCAGGCATACTCTAATCTGTCTCTGCTCTAGTGCCCAGTGGTCTTAGGTGCGAAGTTTAATATATTTTTTCCTTTATTTAGCCGTAATAAAACCCAGCTTTATAAAGTAATGGATCCAATTAGGTGTTTTAAAGTCTTAAAACAAAAAAGATGCTGTTTATTAAAGCTGGTTTTTAGAGGAATTTATTATATCATTTTTGAAGTACTGTAGCTTGAGACACTTGCTTACGGTATTAATGCCCCCTGTTTGCCAATTAGTAAATCTCAATAAAACTTTCCTGTAACTCCTGAATCTCATTTAATCATATTTTGAAGTGTTAACCTTTTCAGCTTGATTTCATTTTGTCACAGAAGGAAGGGGGAGTCACTGCTTCAATATAGTCATAGATAAATCCTCTGGCATAGTGTTGTACAATTGATTGCTCAGCTCATAAGACTAGCTTTGACCCCTGACTTGGAGGTCCTTGTCTCTGTCTTTCAGCAACAAGGTATTATAAAAGAAAAAAAGATGTGTTAGGCTAATTTTATGTGTCCTTGATACTGTATCATTTTCATGTTTTGAAATCGTGTATTTTGGTGCACTAGAAAGGAGCTCTTTATGTTTCACCCACTGGTATGCATACGAATTAAATCAAATCACTGCTGTAGTTCTCTTCTTCTTTCTTTTTGCACATAAAGTGCATCATCTTACCTCACAGTGACCTTATCAGGATGCATTCACTGGTGAACCATTAGTGAGCTCCCTCTCCACCCAGACTTTAATCAGCATGATTTCAGAAAGGATCAATAATGTCTTTTCATGTCTCACACTTTTCCCAGTTTTTTTTTCTCCCACCAATCAATACAGTGCGAGATGTGTTGTTCTACTATACCGCCCCATCTCCACACCAGTGCTAGACTAAAATGGCTCCATTTAGCTTTTCCTGTCAAAATGTCAAATAAAGTGGTATCAGCTTCTCTTTTGTAAGAGGTTTCCTCCGTACAAAATATTTAATGCAAGGCATGGAGATAAAGGTTGTAGGAGGAACATTATAAGTGGTATTTCTTTTAATCTGCAGTCTTCTACCAAAGCATTTACTATCATATAAAAAAAAACTGTGCCGTGAACTCATCCCTCACAGCTTCTTTGCTGCTCCTTGATCATTTAAATTGATTTAAACACAAATCTGTTTTCAGATGTGCTGTAGTATTTCAGCAATGTAGTTTCTATGAATGCATATCCAGCCCCAGATCAGTGGGGATTGCAGAGCCTTTGTTAGTGCTGAAGCTTTGTTATCCTGTAGATTTATGATCGTTGAGGGGAGCTGGCAGGAGCTTGTGTGATTACTGCTTATACACTGATTTATACCTCACTTTTAATTATCTGAGGGGGTCTGCAGCTTGCCAGTGCCAATATATCCCTTCTTTTGGGACCAGCAGGGGAAACAGGAGCCTTCTCTGGTTTCCACCCCACCCGTTCTCTTCTGTGTTTGTGGTACGAGACTTAAACAGGGATCCACTGTGCTTCTGGCAACATCCCAGTCCTCCCCAGAGCGGAGCAGATGGATGTCTCTGACATTCATACCCAGTGTGGGATCTGAAAGCAGGCTTTATGGAAATATGAAGCTGCTATCCACTGGACATGTAACTCTAACACTCCCCACTTGCCTATAAATTATATGGCTGTGAGTGGCACACAAATCACTTCCCTAAGACCAGCTTCTATAGTTACTCTATTTTTTCCTCTTTTTTATGGAGTCCTCTACTGTGAAATTACAAAAGGCAGGTCTCATTTCAGCAACAGGCAATTGATTTTCCCAGCTCGTTTAATATTCAGCATTTGCACCTAGAGCCTGTGTAAGATTTGAAAAATCTATTAGTGTCCTTACCCTGCTCTCAATTCTGGGCATTAACTGGATAAGAAGGCAACAAGTTACTAGTTTGGTCATTTCAAACATCACTCCCATGATTCATTGCTTTATTTCAATACAATATTGTTCATTGATGTGGAAATTGATGTGGATATTTTGGTAACAAGATGTGCATTTAGATTAAGAGAATCCATAGACTTATTCTGGTCAAAGGTCTTCTGTAAATATTCTCCAATGAGGAAAATGAGTATACACAATACTAATCACTTGCTTAAGCATAGTAAATTCTCCTTAAATCCTTAAGATGGTTAATGTACAGTGTTTTTCTGCTGTGTCCTTTAAACCGATGCTGAGCTTCAATTACAATTTTTCTTCTTCTTTAAATTGTAAAACCTCACTATGACTCCAAATGTGTAACCACACCATTGGCTTAAAGGCAGAGGAATTACAAAACTAACCTGTGCAACAAGCAAACATCTGATATTTGCCATTTTAAAAAGAATATGGAGGTTAAATCAAATCCTTTTTTTGGCTCCTATTCACACTGAATACTAAACACCGAAGTCCACATCATGATTCATTTGTAATAATGTTTAAATAACATATCTGTTCTAATCACAATCTCTGTGACTGAGCAGCTTCAGTGCTGCTCACAGAGAGACATGTTTTTCTCATGCAGGGCTGTTTTGTTTTTCCTAATTATTTTTAATGTCTGTCATTAAACCATCCCTTGGGGGAGGGATTCAGTTCTATGTCTGTTTGAACCTCATTTCAGGAGCCTGTTGACTCCCCATTAACCCTTGCATTGTCAGATAGACCTGCTACTGTATGTGTCTGCCCCTACAATCAACGACACATGACCAGTGACAGTGAGGGAGCGATTGTGAGCTGGAGTGGAAGAGATGCTGTAAACAATGTGATCTGTCCTTATCACTACTCCAGTGGTTTGGTCCTTAGTTTTAGGGAAAAAAGATTTTGACTTAAAGTTTTTGTAAAGATGAGTAATTAGAGATATTTCATGTTTTGCAGACACTTTTCAGCAGAAAAGACTGGTGCAGTCTGAGCCCTGGGGATTTTCAGACAGACTGAGTCTTGCATTGCCATGTACATCATCCTCATTTCCTCCTATATGGTCTCTTCATCACATTCTTTTTGTTTTGTTCTTTTTTTTTGACTGTGTCCTCGCTTCAGTTCTCTCTTCAATCCTATTTGAAATTTTGTGGCTGAAAATCAATGATAGGCATATCACCTGATTAGATTGGTGCACGCGGGGCTCTGTTATGTGAGCGAGCTAGGCCTCCAAGGGGACTTCTCTGCAGCTCCTCCACATGAGGGCTTGTAATGAGATTAGTGGAGCCTGCAGAACCTCACACAGGAGATGTTGTGATCTGATTAGGAAGAAGGACACTAACTTTTAGAGGCCTATGACTATGAAAACTGACTGCCACATTGAAGCTTTGCCCTGTGACAACACACCATAAATGTTTTCCTCCTTTTCACCCTGGGTTTAGATTTCACATCCCAGGTGCAGGTCTGTGGTGAAGGTAGTTGGCATGGTGGGGATCACTACTGTCAGATGATTAGGTCAGCAGCCCAAGAGACAACAACACGTCTGCTGTGAAATGTTGATGCTAGACTTACTTACCACTTATAAGCCACCACATCACTGCCAAACAGAGCAGCACACACTCATGGAGCTGCAGTGAATAGAACAACGATCCCCCTCAGAGAGAAAGACAAGAGACTTTAGTGAGTCGGGGCAGTTTATTTGGTCAAATCCACCTTCTCTGAGGAAGGTCTGAAGCTGATGTCGCCTGCATTAGAAGGCCCTAACTTATGCTCACCTCCTTCCTTTTCTCCCTCAGTGGATGAGAAAGACCCAGTGGAAAATATAGCACACATACTACACAAACACACATTAAACTGCACAGCTCACAATAATACTATTCTCCTCTTTCCATCAGCCCATTTTCATTTGTTTTGTCATGAATTCTCTGGCTGTTAAACTGACAGATCGACTGTGGTGCTTGTCAAGCTTTTATCTTTTTCTCTGATTCATTTTCATTCCCGCTATGGAAGTGAGGACGAAGTGGCATCCAGCATTATTTTGTCTGAGACAAACCGATCTTGCTGCAGAATTTGAAGACGTATCATCTTGTGTGAGTCATCCCATTGTTTTTCAAAGACATTTTCAACATTACTGTGATAAGAGAGATGATGGCAGTAGAATTTTATGGGCTGTTAGAGTGAGAGCAATGCATCTGGTGACCACAAAGTAATGACATCCATCTACCCCACACCACTGGGTTTAACAATACATAAATGTGATTACAGAGGGAAAACTGTTTATTTCTGTCTTATTACTGCACTAAAAATTACGGCATATTGTTTTCCATAAAAACCTAATTTTCTATAAAAGGAGCATTTTGTAAGTTAAGCAGTCTGTCTCTTTGAGTTTAAGGGAGCATCTTTTTCTGATGGTCGTTTCCTGTTTTTGCCATTTCCACCATGTTCTTAATGAAAGAACCAGTATGATTTCAAGAGTTGTCCAATTTTCTTAACAGGCTCTTCATCATCAGTAAAAATCTCTAGTTTATGAGCAGCGGATCTTCACAGTTCATTGCTGCCACCGGTTCATATGAAAGCTGCAACGTTCACAATGAACATGACTTTTTCTATTTCCATTACATGAAAATTATCCATGAATTGAACTGTAGATCAGCTTTTATTATTCTGGACATTCTATTAACATAATTATGTGAATACATTTAGTTCCCCTGCATATTCAAAAGCCAAACCTACCATTCACATATTGATGCGTCCATAAATGGTAACTACACAGTAGCAGACATTAACTCTCTGGGACAGAAAACAAAAGCATGTGAATGAGAGGTAGCTCCTGCTGTAGTAAAAACCTTAGCCATGGGAAGCACCACTGTCGCAGCAGCATAAAGATAAGAAGACAGGTGTTTTCTCTGCTCTCCAGCCAAGTGCCACTGTGTTGGCTTGTGTCTGAACACACACACGCTCCTCTGGATGGATGCCTTTTATGGCTCACGTCACAGAGAAATACACTTCTATTTCGCCTGATTGCTGTTGCCTGCTGGGCAGTTATCAGGCTATTGTCAGTGTTACATTGGTGGAACTAATGGATCTGATAGGAATGTGTTTGCCAAGCTCCATCCATTTGAATACAATGCTGTTATGTATATAGGTTTATGTGCCTTAAGTGTGTGGAGCTGCATAATTTATGATAAAGTCCATGTCTGTGGTAATAATAAAATGAAATCTGTTTTTCAAAGTATGCTGAAATGTCTTGTATGACATGAGCAGATCGGGCTGTGCAGTACAAAACTAACAACATGTCTGTTGTTGCATTTAGGGGAACGGAAGAACAGCCACCCTCCATGTTTAAAAGAAGACTTGTCTGCCCTCTTCAGGCCTGGAAAATAATTTGGACATTTAAAAGGCCCAGCGTATGAAGGTAATCAGATTCTGAATTGTGTTTTGTAAATGTCAGAAAATCCAGTTAACCCAACAGGTGTGGCAGGTGCAGCACTGGGTGTATCACAGTAGTTGTACTGTTTTCCCCCTTGTCTTATTTTTGCCTCCCTCAGAGACCCTAAAGGAGAATATCTAACTGAACTCACAAGGTAACTTATTTGCAATTAGATTTGTTTTATTTTCTCCATTTCTCTCCACAAAAGCAAAACAAAAAAACACAGATCTGGTTCTGTGTGTGTGTACACATAGTCACAAAAGTGAATCAATGTGTGTGTGGCTGTGCATCTGCTATTTGTGATGATTCCCATCCAGGGACCAGGATTCTCTCGGGGACTCCCAGGAAATTGCACCATGCTTTCATATCATTCCATCTTCCAGCAGCCCAGTTTTTGAAAAGCCATTTCATTTTTCACTCTTGTCTGGGACTTGCAGTAATGGGCTCCTCTCACTCCACAAGGTTCCATCAGTAATACACATTCACAGCAATACTCGCTGGCCTTCTGTGACCTCAGACAGTGGATGCAATTATGACAGGCCTAATGCCCCACTGAACTGCACTGCCAGACTGCTTTTAGCCAGGCGGAGGGCCATGCTGTGCTGCATACGCACCATGAGGTTTATCATTTCCAATCCTTTTAGGATTTCATTTAAAATGGCATCATTTTAAGTCAGAAGGTAAAAATGGAATAATGCGTGTCAAATCAGCTGCACACATAAAAACTGTAGAAACAGAATTGGAGGAGGTTAATAGCCTGGCAATCATTCAGGATTATGCCAAGGCCAAGAATAAGTGGACTGTAAGCTGTGTGAATGCACAGTATACAAGGATCTTTACCTACCTTTCAGTTGAATGGTTTCAGATGTATTGAAGCTATGGATCAGGAATCGAGTCTTAGAGCTTATTGTTCTCCACAGAGGGTTAGTGCGGGTCATACTGAGGTTTTCTTGCTCTTGGGTTCATTCTGTTATGACGGAGTTAATCAGGCAAGTGGCATGACAAACCCCTGTTGTGTATGTTGGCCAGTTAGCAGGAAGTGACAGGAAAGATGAATGTTTGGCTTTAGTGAACCCCACGCTGCCTCCGTGATAATTCCCATTTGTGAGGCCTCAGCAATACAAGAATAAATTAGATGAGAAACACTTGACACAACTTGTGCTTAAGATGTTTCGATCCCAAGAAATCTTGTATAAAAATGCAGAGCACTGCTTAGATAAAAGGGGAATCGCTGTTGGGAGCTTGTAATGGGTGGTTCCCACTAAAGACTGTATCCTACACTGTGGTATACAGTAAAATTCACTTTTCCAGCCTTGGACAAGCTTTTGTTGTGTTAGAACCAGATGATTTATACTCACAATAACTTAGTCACTTCACTGATGGAAAGATCTGTCTGTCAATTAATTGGCCAGCCGATTCACCACTTTGGTCCAAAGTGAAATATCTCATCATCTATATGATGGGTTGCTATGAAATTTGGGACAGAAGGTATCCACAGGATGAATTCTAATGACTTTTGGATCCACTGGCTTTGCATCTTTCACCACCTACATGTTAAAATTCTCACTTCCAGTAAAAAAGTCATTCAGGAGATGAACTGTTTTGGATGATTTCTTTGCACAGACATAAGTGGTTTGCAGAATATGTATCCCAATGGCTTTGGTGAACCTTTAATTTTATTGCCATCCGGTCAGAATAATTTCTCCACTACTTTGGTTTGTAAGCAAATACCTACAAAACTAATTACTGAACATTGTCTCCTCATCTCTTCTTTGTGCTTGGAGCTATTCAGCAAAGGTTACCATGCTAAAACACTGAACTAATATGAACAACACAGTAAACCTTGTAGTCCCTAATTATTAGCACTGGGAGCATGTTAGTAAGCTGATGTTAACATTTACAGTAGCTCAAGGCACCACTGTACCTAAATACAGCCTTGCAAATCATAGCTGTGGATCTATACCTTGTTTTAATTGTAAAGAAACCAGAGTGCCAGGCTGGATCCCTGGCTGATATGTATGTACAGTATATATAAAAGACATAGTTTACTTTTTTGTCTTGGTTTGAATATTTATCTCAGCATTTTATATGGTAACTTTACATCATGTTACAAACTACAACATTTACATATACAGCCTATAGCCTCAATGCGTGCAAAAAAAAAACACTTGAGTGGAACCTGCAAGGAGCTTTGAAAGCTAAACCTGGCATAATCCTGCCTCAGACCATAACATTTTCTTCTAACTGAATATACATGTATAATGTTAACCTATACATGTGCAGTGGCTTTTCAAGGCTTCAGGCAATTCACAGTAATGTAGAAAGTGGGAAACAGCTGGAAAGAGAGCTACACACTATATTGTTAGAACATAATACATCATTTCAAATCACTATAACAGTGAAGCTGTTTACAGTGTTCATGTCAGTTCATGCCTCAGTGTACAGTAAACATACAGGGGAAGTCTGCTGTTGGTTTTGTGTATATGCTTCATGGGTACAATCCTCCCCTCATGATATGGCAGTGAAGCATTTAAATTATACTAAAAAAGCAGCATGTGGTTGGGATACATCCTGCAGTAATAAAACCAGTATTCAAAATAATTATCATGGATTTTTACAGTATGCCCACTGTGTTTGTCCTGAAGGGGGAAACTGTCAGGTGTTAGCTGATGAATTTCCTTTTTATTAGCATAGTAAAACACTATCTTACTACTGTAGATATAATACAGTAGCCTAACTTTATAGTCAAGAGAACCTGCTATAATAAATAAATGCTGCATATTAATGTCATGTGCAGCATAATGCCTGTTATACAGTATGTAGTCACAGTGTTTGTTTTTTTAATATGTGAAATATGACCAGTGTCCAGATGTGTCCACAGTGTAGATGCTGACCTACTATAAGCCAATCTATAGTCTCACTGGAATATGTAACAGCAAGAGGAAGCTTGATTTTGAAAACAGACAACCGAAGAAATCTAACCCTCTCGTTCTGACTTGCACGCTGAACACTGCAACGTGCACTGCCTGACTACTACTTACATATTTCAGGAAAATAACAAATCCCCTCCAAATAAATCAAAACCAATAATTACCTGTCCAGCAGAAATACGGCCACTACAGAGTCACATTTCAGCCCCTTTTGTGCTCTCAGTTGTCGCCATCATTAAAAAGCCACACCAGTGTTAACTCTGGTTTTATTTCTTGCAGCATCCAACTTCTTATTAGTTGAATACAGTCTTCATTTGTGAAAAAAGTCTGCTGTGGCTACCTTTTCTGCCATAGCTCGCTAGCTTTTGCTATAAAAACAGAGCGGTAACACAATTGCCTGCATGGGCTTGTGGGAGACTCTTGGCCAGTGATGGAAAAAGTACTCGGATCCTTTACTTAAGTAAAAGTAGCAATAAAACACTGTAAAAATATTCTGTTACAAGTAAAAGTCCTGCATTCAAAGTGCTACTTAAGTAAAAGTACAAAGGTATTAGCATCAAAACATACTTAAAGTGCTAAAAGTACTCATTATAGCATAATGAGTACTGATGCATTATTGTGTTTATCACATTTAATGTTGCAGCTGGTAAAGGTGGAGCTAGTTTTAACTAGCTTATGAGCATTTAATTTGAATTACTGCTGTATCATTTTCTTTTGTCATTGCATTGATTATATTCATTGTCATCAGGATAATAAAAGAATTTCAAGAAATGTAACAAAAATGCTTCTGAAATGAATGACGAACCCTACCTTTAAGTATTATTTTGGATAAAATTGCATTTATTTTATGATGTTAAATTCATATTATAAATGGTCCCCCTTAAAACGGGAGATATCAGTGTCCTTACAAACAAGTAATTCACCTAATACAGCACACAACTCTTTCTTTTTTTCTTTTTATGTGTGCAAAGTGATAGGAGTGAAGGCGGAAGGCAGGTTCCTGAGCTGCATTAAAAGCAAATTACTGCTATGCATCATGGCCACCTAAAGAAAAAAGGAGTACTTTTAATCATGAAGAATGTCCACAAAAATGCATGTTGAATCAACTATGGGGCAGTTGTGGCTATTTATTGAACCTTTATAGCAAACACAAATCCACTACCAGCCAGTCGCATTTTGCCTCAGTTGAATTTACTGCATGGAAGGTAATTCTGCAGTTTTTGTACATTTTCCACCAGTGTTGTTTAACAGAAGAGCAGTAGTACAACACTCGTAGGAGCAGCGCATAGGTTTCTCTGACGGCCTCTTTGCAGCCTGTCAGAATGAGCCATGGCTGAGCAGGTGGGATTGTCCCACCATGGAGATGAATACATCAGGCAGCTGTAAATCCTCCACCGACCTCCATTTGTTTACGCCTCCTGTTTCCCACCAAACAAACTTCTAGATTTCCCATGAGAGTTCGTCCTCAGTGGACATGCTTTATAGGCGTCACAGCCAGATGAAAACCGTTAAAACACCATTTTTAAAAAGGTGTGTTTGTGCAAAGGAGAGAACAAGACTTAGATTCAGCTCAATTATTCGCACAAAAGGGGAGGATGTGCTATAAATCGACATGCTTATCATGTCCGTCATTCTTTGGAATAAATCCTCTGATTCATTTCACAGACAAGCAATTATGGTCTCATTTTATCCTAATACATCTCGTGATTCAGGCATTAAAACCTCAGGTGGCAAAAGAGTGGCAGCTACTGTAGGATGTGAAAGACAAACCAGTATCACAATGCTGATACAACAGTAGATGAATAGTACCAGGGTTCTTACACAGAAACACTACTGAAAAGATGTCATGCTTTTCCCACTTTTAGCTCCACACCATGTAATTTTATGGATCAGATTCATATTTTGCAATTAGGGTGTCAGACTTGTTATTGTCTTCTTGTCTTTACTTTTGGATTATCCTTCAGATTTTTATATTTGATTAGAACCCTTTCTTTGTTGTCGAGCTTAAGCTTATTATATCCAGTATTCACACCCTGAGCTCTTTCTCGCTTAAAT